GGGAGGGGGGGTTGGGGTTAGGGAAGTGTTGATTGCCGCAATGTCATCTCCCACCCGCATTTCAGCCCACATGGAAAGAAAGAAACAAAAAAAAAAAAAAAAAAATTTATTCCTGCAATACAGAAGAAGAAGAAGAAGAAGAAGAAAAAAAAAAAAGAAAAAAAAATGCACAAGCACAAACAACCACACATCAATATTTATATATATTTATATAAATAAAGGGATATGTATGCATGCATGTATACCAGAGAGAAATTAGCAAAGTAATAGTAATATGGCGGTGTTTTAATATTATTATTATTGGTGGTGGTGGTGGTGGTGGCAACAGCAAGAATAAACCCCCTCCCCCGCCACCAAAGAAGAAAAAAAAAAAAAAAAAGGTCAGACAAATGTCCTCTCCCTTTTAATAATCCCTCATTCACGTCCACACAAACAAACACACACAAGATGAATAAATAAACAAATAAATAATTAAAAATTTAAAAAAAAAAAAAAAAAAATTTTTTTCTTCCCTTCTTTCTTTCTTTCTTTCTTTTATCCCTCAGTCTTCTTCATCGGTTCCTTCGGCCTGCTTGTATGTTATAAACCAACACACACACACACACATACATACATACACACAATAGTCTCCATATGCATTTATGCATATAGGCTTGTATGCATAAATGAATGGAAAGAAATGAATACGTGTCCGCTCCACAGTAATTTAACAAAAAGCAACCGTATTAATCATAATAATCATAATAATCATAAGAAGAAGAAGAAGAAGAATGTATCGCAGTATATATTTATATATTTATACCCACACAGTTGCACATACATGCATACAGCCATGCATACATACATGTGAATATGTGTGTCTATGTGTATATGTATATGTATATATGTGTGTGTATGCAACTGTGTGGGTCGTCCATTGACGTGTGGGTTAAAAGCAAAAATAAAAAGAAGAAAAAAAAAAAAAAAAAAAAAAGAAATTTCTTCAAACAAAAAATCATCGGCGATAAACTTCTCCTCTCTCTCTTCCTCCTACTACTCTCGGTCTCTCTCTGACTTTGTCCCCCTCCATCCCCACCCCTCCAAAGAAAAAAAAAAAAAAAAATGCCGCAGGATGCGCCCAGCAGCCGCACAAAAAAAAACACACGCGCCCATCAACAAGAAAAAAAAGAAAAAAAAAAAATATATATATATATAGCGGGAACATGCATACAGGATGAGAAGAACAAAAATATATATACATACATGCAATACATACATGTACATACATACGCACACACACATAAATGCGTTTCCCGGAATGAGACGACGAGTCGTCACTTCCTTCCTTCTTTTTTTTTTTTTTTTTTACTCTCTCTCTCTCTCTGCCCGTTGACTTCCCACCGCAAGTGCATCTTTGCCCATCGGCGTTATAAGAGCACAAGCGGCTCGGCGCCTCCCTTTTCCTCCCGGGAGCACACACCGGTGAGATGCACAAGCGACTGGCAGGTGGAGGTGCGGGGCTGAACGGCGATTGAGAACACACCAGCCGAGCCCAACAAACAAGAAAAGCAGAGGAGGAAAGGGGGGAGAGAGTAGGGGAAGACAAAAAAATAAATAAATAAATAAAAAATAGAAATAATAATAATAATAATAATGGGCAAAAACCAACACACACGTGTGTGTGCAAAGAGAAAGAGACGAAATAAGGGGAGAAATCCTCCCGCCTGTCTACGTCCTCGCTCCTCTATGGCCACCACGACCAGCACACCTGCGATTGCCTCCATCCCTTTTTCATTTCTTTTCGGCTGGGAGCTTATTATTATTATTATTATTATTATTGGTTTCTTGCCCGCACCCCGTTCCGCAGTGATGGGAAAAAAGGATAAGTGGGCAGGGAGGGGGAGAAGACACACACACACACATACACACATCGTCACACGCACACACGCGGCAGCAGCCAACATACATCCATACATCTCCTTGAAAGAGGCCGGATAACAGTAACAAACAGCAATAATAACAAATAATAAAATAACAAAATAAATAAGCGACGGGTGATGTTTCGATCGGGCTGCCTCATTTCCTTTCGTTTCACCCCCACTCACACACCCCACACTATCGTCCTCCTTTTCTTGTTGTTTCCCCCCACCCACCCCTCCAACTCTCCGCAGGAAAAAAGCCGCGTATGTACATGGAAGGTTTGTGCAAAAAAAAAAAAAAAAATGGATAACCGCAGCATGAATAAATAAATAAATAAAGGGGCGTGGATACAGACGGATCAAAGCAAAAATAAATACATAAAAGTATACGTATAAATAAATGTATATATTTATATATATGTATACATGTGTGCTCACACGCACACAAGAAGAGAGAGAGAGAGAGAGAGAGAGAGAGAGACAGAAATAATTTAAACAACAGTCAAACAAACAAATCACAAAAAAAAAAAAAAACCGCACACATACACAAATACATACACACAAAAAACAAATATTGATTTATGCGCATCATAATGAAATAAACGGCAAGTACAAATATTCGCCCCCCCCTCCCCCTCCCTTTTTTTGTGTGTGTGTTTTGTTGTTTTTCCTTTCTTTCTGCCTCTTTGCATATATACATATATATACGTGTGTGTATATATATAGGTGTATATATATGTGGGTGGATTTATTTTCATTTATATCCCCCCTCTCCCTCCATGTATTTATTTACCCTGTTGCCCATTCCTCCTGTTCCTCCCTGTTCCAATGTTGCAACTTACAAAATAAAGATGGATAGATAGATAAATAGGTAGGTAGGTAGGTAGGGGGAGGGTAAAGAGAAGTGCAGGCAAAGAAGGGAGGAAGTAATGATATATTAATTCATACATACATATATATTTATTTATATTACATTTATGTAAATATAAATATATATGTATGTATTTTACGTGTGTGTATCTATGCATGTCTCAATACTATTTCCCTCCTCCCAGTAATCCTCACGTATACATATGACTCCCCCCTCCCCCTTCAATCACCATTACTCGTCCATACACCAACTTCATAGTACACGCCAACGGAAAACAAGAACAAAAACAGAAAAACAAGAACAGAACGGGGAAAGAAAGAAAAAAAAAAAAAAGTCCCATTCCATAAACGCAGCGTGAATGAAAAGAATAATAATAATAATAATCATAGTAATGACAATAAATGAAGAGCAGGTGGAACATACATTCCTTTCCCCCCCCCCCCCCCCCTCTCTCCTCCCCTCCCTATATATATATATATATATTATAATAGTAATAGAAGAAAGGGGGAAAAAAAGCCCAAGAGAAGGGGAGAAGTACGGAAACAAACATAAATGAAGCAAAACAAAAGTT